AGTTTCATAATATGAATTTTTGAGTTTTGAACATCGATTTGGAGACGGAATTGAGTGAAATTAGTATGGTTGAACTTGTAATTGGATGGGTTGTCGGATTTGTGAGTTTCGTCGGATTCCGAGACGTGGGCTCCACGAGCGATTTTGGGTGTAATTTCGAATTTTGTGGGAAACATTAGTATTTTGATATGGAATTAATTCCTATAATTTGTGTGGACTGAATCAATTAATTTTGTCTAGATTCGAGCCGTTCGGGAGTTGATACGCGCAGAATGGAATTTCTGGAGCATTGTTTAGCTTGCTCGACATTGGATTCGTCTTGTTCGAGGTAAGTAACTCTTCTAATCTTGGAGCTGAGGGTATGAACCCTAAATATACGTGTTATGTGTTTGGTGTTGAGGTGACGCACATGCTAGGTGACGGGCTTGTGGGCGTGCACCGTGTGAACTGTGACTCCGTTATTTCTGTGGTACTGTGTAGTTACCTGAACTTATCTGTAATCACGAAATCTCTACGTACTAGAGTTATCGAGCTGTGATTCATATTAGAAGCCATGTCTAGGCTACATGCCTATTCTGTTGGGACCCACCGAGGTCATTTCTGTTGTTGAATTATCTGCTTTCATTGCATTACATACTCAGTCATACGCATTCATATGCATATCATATCTCAGTCTCTGTTGTTATTTATTGATGCATCATATTATTATTTTCGGGCTAGTATCATGACACTGTGAGCCCGTGAGAGAGAGACTGGAGAGATTGATGACTGAGTGAGGCCGAGTGCCTGATTATGAGTAACATTTATGAGATCGGGTTGCACGCCGCAGTGGTTATACTGATTTATGATAGCGCTTGGGCTGAAGGAGCTCCTCCGGAGTCTGCACATGCCCCAGTGAGCGCGGTTGATATTATTGAGGGATGGATCTTCCCTGAGTATGGATCTTGTCCGAAGCATTATATACCTGGAGATGGATCTTCTCCACGAGCTGGATTGGCCCTACTCGGTACTGAGTGAATGATGATCAGTTGATGTGTATATTCCAGGATGGATCTTCCCTGGGCCGGATTGGCCATATATAGTACCGAGTGATTGAGCATGATGAGTGGAGTGTGTGAGAAAGTAAGATTGAGTACTCTGAGAGTGTGAGTACATGAGTTCATCTCTGAGATACATTGCATTGACATGCACACATGACATACAGGCATAGAGATGTATTTTTCTCGTGTTGTACGATATCACGTCATTCATGATTTCTCACACATATTGACATATGGGCATAGTGATGCACTTGTTTTACACTGGTCATCTGGAATGAAAATGAAACATCTTATTTATTATTGAAAGGATTTTTGGGAAAATTACTGTTTTCCAACTTACTCATATTTTTGGCAACTTCGGTAAATGATTTGGGTTTACACTGATGTACTTGAAAGGCAGAATTATTTTAAGAAATCATGATTTAAGCTGAGCATTTTATCTCTGAGTTACTTTTTGTATTACTTGATTTATGTTGTTATGGCAGTTGAACTCTGACCTTGGTACAAGCTCGTCACTACTTTCAACCTAAAGTTAGGTTTGTTATTTATTGAGTACATGGGGTCGGTTGTACTCATACTACACTTCTATACCTTGCGTGTAGATGTTGGCTGCTGATGTTGCTGTGTTCGTTGGGAGCTGGATCTGAAGATATACCTGCGTTCCGGTTGTAGCTGCCTCGTGTTTATGGTAGCCTTAGATTCATAAAACTCGGTTTATGTACTTTTCAAACAGATGATGTATTTACTTCATACCAGCTTTGTATATTCTATTCTTAGAAGCTCATGATTTATACTACCAGTTCTTGGAAAATGTATCAGATTCAGATATTTCTTTACTTAATTGCTTTATTAATTGTTATTGGAATTGGTTAGTGGTTAATTGGCTTACCTAGCGGGTTGGGTTAGGTGCCATCACGACTAGTTGGATTTTGGGTCGTGACACCAAAAAGAGGAAAAGTGAGATTCTTCCACCAAGAGATAGTCCTTTCACTTGAACTTCAGATATATGATATATTGGAGTATGGGTAACATATTTATGAGTTTTATTTGACGTTGTAATGAGATATTGTATGAACCCTAAGGGTGGGTCTTGAGAATGCCATTTTGAGTAAAAAAAGAAGATGTATAGTGATGAATTGATATAAATGGAATTGTTTTGAGTTTCTAATGATTTCCTAAGTTGTGCGGATTCTTCGATTTTGGTGCCGTCCCCATCCGGATACGGGACGGTACGGGAACGGGATACGTCCCGGATACGGTCAACTGACTTCGGACACTTTGACCGGAGTCCATCGACAAATTTGGGAGAAAAATTGAGATTTTGATTTCTCAAAATCAAAAATAAAACAGATTTAAAACAACGAAAGAATATTGTCCATCTTGGAGAATGAAAGATTGAATTGTACAATATTCATGTAAGTTTTTCACAGAATATCTCTCAAAATTTACAATCTTTTTATAGCTCTAATTTTTATTACCTGAATCCCCGCACCCGTATCCATATCCGGATCCGCACTCTCGAATCTTAAAATTTAGATTTTGCCGAATCCGATACTCGGATCCGTCCCCGTATCGGATACCCGCACCCGAATCCGAGCAACTTAGATGATTCCAACAGACTTGATAATGTAATGATGAACGAATTGAATTGGGAATCACCATTTGGGTAAAATACAACACTAGTTCTTGAAATGGGTTTTCTTGAACCTAGAGTTTTGTTGGAGAAGACAATGAATAGTGACTTGATGATATTGGGTAATTAACGTAGTATCATTAATGACTCCCAATGAATATTAAATGATAAGAATGGAATTGAATAAGCTAATGGGTGAACCTATTGGATAATTTGGGATGGTTGAAGTCTCGTTGCCGAATTGTGAAGCCTAAATGGATATTTATAAATCTTTTCATATTTGTTTTGATGTAGTTGGGATATCTAATGGTAGATATTGAATTGTGTGTGATATTTGAGTATTTTAATCAATTGGAGCATTTGTAGTATTTTTGGAGCTTGAAATTTGAGGTAAGTTGATTATGACTTGCTCTTCTTGAAGGAATCTCTCTAAAGTCATGTTTTGAGTTAATACGTATTATTATTTATAAATGTGCATCTGTACTTGTAGGGACAAGCGGAAGGATGTCACCATGTGTTTCTAAGTTTGTTAATTTTGAAGTGTTATGTGATTTTATATAAAAGTCTTATTTTCAAAACTTGTTTGCAAGATGATACCTAAGAAAAATTTTATAAGTTTTATTAAAACTTATGTGTTGATAAGAGTATAAACTATTTGAGTGATAAGGATACGTTTCATGAAAAAGTATGTGTTTTGAAATTTAAAAAATGGAGTAGCACTTGTTGTATCTTTAAAAAATTGATGTTAAATTGCTAAAGGCATTGACATGAAAATGGTTATTCATTTGATTTTGTTCAAAATGGTTTGGATTGACTATGAAAATCATGATTTGATAAAACAGATCTTTCGAGGCTATTAGGCTATGAATCTATTTTTGATATTCAAATGTTTTGGGAGTTACTAGTAGAGACGACCGAGATTGGTTCGAATATTAAGTTCGTTACCATGAAACTACACGTGCCGGTGTATGGACGTATTCCAAGACTAAGCCGAGGTTTGTAGGATAAAGTCCCCCATTGAGAGGACAAATGATCATTACTTAAAGTAATAAGGTTAAGTCAACTCGTACGGCACTACGGGAAGCCGCCCAGACAAGTAGGGTCAAATACTTGTTGCTAGGTCGATCACCTAGTAGTTGTTTATTATGTCGGTGTTGGTATAGTACTCCCAGTGAAAGATAAAGAATACTTTCTTATGTTTATGCCTAAGGAGCCGAAAGTGATTTCGATGAATTAATGAAGGTGAAATGGTTTTGTATGATTTTATTAAAAATCTTGGATTGATATAAATGTTTTAAGAATTTATATCATGGTTTATACTTCACTTGTCTTTTCATTTGAAATGATAAAGAGCATGATTTATATTATTGTTTATCACTTTATATCAAATATTGGTTGCATAGTTTTTGTATAATCTTGTCCTAGGAACTTGAGTTAGTGAGAGTCTATGACACTTATTGAGTACCGTGGTGGTGTACTCAGCCCTCAGGGGCCCCTCTTCGGGGCTCCGCTTACTTTACATGTTTCAGAATTAGGGATATGATACGTAGCATGCAGACATGGCTAGGATGACTTTCTTCCCAAAATATATGGTGAGGCACCACTCCTATTTCGTGGTAGCTATCATGTTGTCTTTTTATTTTATGCTAGTCAGACATTGGCCCAAATATTGAGTTCTATTCTTGGTATAGAGGGTCCATAAATAGTTGTGATGAGTTGTAATAACGGGATGGTACACGACATATGTAAAAAGATATTTATTGCATTTGATCCCATTATTATCATGAAAGGCGTCATGTGTGATTTTGAATTGGAAAAATATTTTATCATTTAACTTGAAAATGTGTATGATTTTCAAAGAGCCTCCGCAGTTAAATTGGTTTTCATGCATATTGTTTGGGTACATCATATGGTTTGGTTCGCTCGGATCGGGCAGTGTGTCTGGTGCCGGTCAAGTGGTTTTGGGTCGTGACAGGAAGATTACTGATTTCGTCTTACAATGATTTTTAACATTATTGTTAGATAGTGGTATGCTTATTTATTACTACTACTTACTACATCTGAGTAAGAATTTTTTTAATTAAATCTATTATCGCGATGTTAATATTCTAAAATGTGTTACTTAGTCCGGATGTTCACCTAATAAATATTTTTATGCCTTAGCAAGTAATAAATATTCTACCAAAAAAGATGCCATTATCAGATTATGAACTTCTAAACAACAATTCCCAATTGATATGAATAACATTATATTGTGATGAAGATTATTTGGATAATCATCCAATTTAATATATTAGTTTTAATACAATAACTATTGTATGACATACCAATGAGTTGCTTGCTTCCCCTTTCTCTCCTTCTCCTTCTTTTTCTTTTCCTCTTTCCATTTATGTAATCTTCACTGCTCGAGTCAAAGTAGCTTCTCCTTCCCTTCCTCTCAAGTTCTCAAGACCTGATGTATATAAAGTGCATAAACCTTTATATGGAGAAAGAAGTGAAAGAAGTAGAAACTGAAGGAAGAAGCATAAGCATATACCAGGAAACAGTTTACTACAGATATAGCCAGACATCTCAAAAAAAAAAAGTTGATTGACCATAGTACTCTCAGCCCAATTACCAAAATAGAAATAGCAGTACTGTACTTCAGCCTGAGCCCAAAATTTGTAAAGCTTGTTGTCAAGTTGATTGCATAGGGTTTTTGCTAATTTTTTTAATATTTTAACACAAGATTTTCACCTTGTAGTAGTGTTATATAAAACGGCAGCCCGATGAACAAAGCATCTCGGTTCATATAGGGTTCGCGGAAGGGCGGGTGTGATGTAGGCAACCTAATTGGAGTAGTGTTATATATTAGAAAAAATATACACATTCAGTTTTTTGTTCCTTAACTATCGATCTAGGTCAAACATCGAATGTTGTGTAATTAGCAATTATTTTGAAGAATAGTAACTTTCTATGCAATTAGTTTCTAACCAGAAATGCCAATCTTAATTACACATAACAGCTGTTAATTTTTTAAGAAGGAACTTATAAGATAAAGAAGAAAATATAACACCCAAATATTCAGAAACAAAACCCGTCATATATTTCTTCCCTAGTCCTGCTCATTTACCATGACTTTTCAAGAACAGCTAGATTTATTGTATTCAGTATTTGTTGCTTCTATTTCTATCAAGAGATCAAGATCTGTTGTTGATTTACGCTGCAAGTGTTAACAAGCTAGTATACTTCATCAAGCTCCTAATTCTATAACTCATAAGTATATGATTTAGCTGAGCCTCACCCATCATATATTGTGCTTAAATAATCAATAAAGTCAAATAAAAACCTTTGTTAGAATAAACATACCTTTTGACCGCTTAAAGTTCAGCAACCAAGATTAAGCTGTTATCAGCTCTTGTTTGTTTGAGAAATAGGTGAAGAATGGCCAAGAAAGTACCTGGGATTCAGAAAATATATGTGAGAGAAGTTGAAGTAATTGGCTAAAGACAACTTACAAGGCCACCAGTAGAAAGAAGAATCAAATACAGATTGATAATTCCATTATTAAATACAATTCATTGACTTCTGAATTAAAGTCTGTTTAATGCTAATTCTTTTCTTAGTCTTTGTAATCCATTGTGAATACTATATATATGTCCCTTGTTATGAGATCTGGCCTATCATATTATATACTCCACTTGTCTAGATATTCGTTTTTTTTTTGTTTTGTTTGGGCAATTTCCCGTCCTCACCTGCAGAAGTCAGAAGCTCTTGCTCAAGCTCTTCCATCTTCTTCTTTGAGCATTCAAATTTGAGGATAAGTTTATCGAATGCCTCCTTAAAATTTACATGCTCCTCAGTATTCGATTCTTGAGCTTGAAATGCCTTCTACAATGCATTAAGCTCAGTGTCATCAATTTTTTTTTTCTACAATCTGCTTTTGCAATTTCTACAAGCTCTCCAAATTCCTTGACAGTCTCATGTAGCCAGAGGCGGACCTATGTGTTATAGTGAGGGGTCACCGGACCTGTAAGTATCGGCAGAAATCTTGTATACATATATGAATATACCTTGAAAATTGTTAATTTAAATCACTTGGCACCATGAACACTAGAAAGTAGAATATTGTGCCCCTTCGCATAAAAATTACGGGTCCGCCTCTGCAGGAAGCAGTCTCTTTTGTGAGTGACAATTCATCCTTTAACTTCACATTTTGAGATTCAGTGTCTACTAATGCTCCAGCAACTCTTTGTAATCCTAGCTCAAGCTGTTTAGCCTTTTCTTGTGCTTCTGATATTCTCTACAAGCAGATGAAACACTTGAATTGCCACTTTACCCTCTGCAGGAGAAGTTGTGAAATGTGAACCACCCCAGTGCTTCTCAATTTGAACTAGATTTTCAGAGACGGAAGCTAATTCGTCAAAAGGTTCCAGTACCTCACAAATTGGCATTTCATCGAACATCTTCCGCCCACAGTACAGCAAGAAGTAAAAACCCTTAAAGACAATTATGTTTCTCTCTTCTCTTCCCCGTCTCCCTCTAGTAGGCAATTCTTATGCAGTAAAATTTAATAGAACGATCAAATTGTGTTAGAAGAAGATAATTTTGTCTTTGAATTCTTTTATTCCGCAGTGCTACTAGAACAGGCTCAAATTCATCCTCCTCTCTCTTTCTTTCTTTCTTTCTTTTCCTTCTAATAAATTATGAGCACACAATTAATGATTTTAATTAATTTGGTTGGAGAAAATTGAAAAGCATCATTATTGGACTTTGTTGAGCTTGAAAAAAAATTATTAAAGAAGATAATATGTGTCTGTTAATTTTTGAAGGTTTAGGTTGGATCTAACTTGTCACGACCCAATTTCACCTATAGGTCGTGATGACGTCGGACACCGCTGTCAGACAAGCCAACAATAAATACTAAATAAATTCTCATTTTAATATTTTTGAAGTCATAGTTGTTTCCCTCAATTAAATAGCAGAAGATGACATTTACCAAATACGTACTAATATCTTTAAAAATTTTCAATACAATGCAACCCATAATCATCCCAAAACCCGGTGTCACAAGTGCATGAGCATTTACTAGGGAATTAAAATAAAATACAGCATCGGTCTAGAATACAAATTAGACAAGAAAATATAATAACTCTAAAGGAGACTCTATTAGTTGTGGATCGTAATATAGAATGCAGCTCACCTATATCCCCACAATTATTAACCACACCTCTGCGCCAACAAGGCCGCTATACATATATGTACCTGCACAATAAAATGTGCAGTAAGTGCAGTATGAGTACGAAAATAACGTGTACCCAGTAAGTATCAAGCCTAATCTCGAAGAGGTAAAGACGAGATAGCCGACTATGACACTCACTATGGGTCAATAATATTAAATAATCATGAAAATAGAAATATTTATATCAACGTGATTCATAGAGTTAACAATAATTTTATTGTACCAGCAGAGGCAATTAAATTCCTTCAATTCCAATAATTTTCAATATATTAATTAAATTCCTTTCATTCAAATAATTTCTAATCTATTAATTAAATCCTTCAATTTCAATAAAAATTCCAATTTATCAAATAGTTTTACAAGCTGCAATTCAATTTCAATAATTTTTCAATTTATCAAATAGCTTTACAAGCTACAATTCAATTTCAATAAATTTTCAGTTTATCAAATAGCTTTACAAGCTGTAATAAACTGTCCAAGTATCGTGTAATTATTATTATTATTAAGCATGATTTCTGTCGAGGTCGTACGGCCCGATCCAGAGTTTCGTGTACACTATCGAGGGACGCGCAGCACGATCCATAGATGCATCTATCCTGTCGAGGCGTTCGGCCCGCTCCACAAGAAAGGAGGATATTTTTTTATGTACCTCCGGAAGGAGAGTATATTCATTATGAGATAAATTCGGGAGGATGAACAATTTCTTTAAACAGTTAATTAATTTAAACAGAAAATTAAGCATATGAAATTTTCATCTTTATTATATTTCCTAACAATTCACAATTTATATATCAAATAATTCAATTAAATAAAGAATACAATTTACACAAGTAATTCATGCTTTGAGTCCTAAACTACCCGGACTTTAGCATTAATAGTAGCTACGCACGGACTCTCGTCACCTCGCGCGTACGTAGCCCCCGCAATTAGCAATAATTATTTAATTAGATCCCTATGGGGTAATTTTCCCCTCACAAAATTAGGCAAGAGACTTACCTCGCTTCGAAGTTCCATAGCCGGCTCCCAAGCTTTTCAAATAACTCGACCGATGCCCAATGCTCCAAAACTCGCTTTCGCTTTATTAACATTCACAAGCTTTTAATCCTCCTCTGACATCGTAACATTGAGTAAAATGCTCATACGCCACCAACAAATTGGTATTTACAATTACAATCCCAATTACAATCAAAATATGACTCAAAAATATTTATCAATATCCATTTACGGCTCTCAAGTTGGCTACAAGCCTCCAACTCAAATCGTCTAATAAGTTTACTTACTAGCACATTCGGCTCCACTCTTATCATTCAATACCCATTTGAAGTCATCAATGATACTACATAAATTCTCCAACACCGCCAAATTACTATTCATCGTCTTCCTTAACCAACATTTCCAAAACATTCAATTTTGTGATTACTTAGTTGAATACTTCCAACTAAGATAGAAAATGATTTCATAGATTTATTGCATCCTTTAATTTCATTTCTAATAACACTATTTATCTTTCCCTCATTTTCTCAAGAACATTATTCATGTCATGAACTAGAGTTTATGAAATAAATTATCCAACAACAACAACTTGAAACAACTATTAGAATTACTCTCACCGACTCATAAGAAATGAGCTTGAAGCATTAGTATTACCTTCTTGAAGCTTTTTCTTGAAATTCCAATGTTTGAGAAATTTGGTGTTCTTGAACAACTTAAAAGATTTCTAGGGATTTCAAAGATTGAAGTATGTTAATACTAGTGTTAATAGGATGTTATTAACTTAAAATATCCAAAAAAAACTCACCTTGTATTCTTAAGTAGTCCCCAAAGTCGAATCCACCATGAAAGAACCAATCCCTAGCTCAAGAAAATCCCCAAAAATGGTTGTTGCCCGTGACTGCCTTATAAAGGCACAGGTGCTTCAGCGAGTTGTACCTTACGCTGTGCAGGTTGTACCTCGTATTACAAGTTTTGCCCTGCTGGACACCATTTACTAAAACGTCCATAAGTCCTTGTAGAAATATCCAAATGACGAACGGTCAAAAGCGTTAGAAACTAGACTCGAAGATCTTTCATTTGATAGGTTGTACATCATATAAATCCTTATATATATATATATATGTATATGTATGTATATATGCATGGTCGTCCAAAGTTAGATTTTTATGTGTACTTATTTAGAACTTTAGTCTATCATGTAATTTCCAACTTGATTAAGACTTAGGGCTCTCCTTAGACCCTACATCACTTATAATATGACTCGTTCACTTATTAATATACGAACCTGTTAGAACCTTAAAATCTCGATTCCGGGGTCGTTTTCTCAAAGTGTTGACCGAAGTCAAATTTGCCCTTTTAAGGCTAACTTAAGGAACCAAGTGTTTCGATTTTAACCCAAACACTTTCAAATCCCGAACCAACCATCCCCGCAAGTCATAAATCATTAAAAACACATTCGGAGAGTTTTATTTAGGGAAACGGGGTTCTAAAAGTCGAAATGACCGGTTGGGTCGTTACATTCTCACACTTAAATATACGTTTGTCCTCAAACGTGCTAAGGATTATTTCGGAGTTATCCAAAATCATTGTTTAACACCTCGTGCACCTACCCGTGCTACCACACCCAGTTGAGCACATTAACTCGAGCCAATTTGAAAATTCTCCCCTTTATTTAGGCAAATAAGCCTTAGAGCCGAATTCTAACATTCAGAATTCTCCACTATGCCTGTTTCCAACCTATGAATGTCGTATCAATCACTACACGATGCACCAATACAAGATTGCATACCTTTGTTGAATTTAGACCATGCACTGCATAATTCACATGACTATAATAACATCCTCTGATAACAATAGCCAAAATTTCACGAATCTGATGTTCATAACACACCTCATGATACATATAAGTCATGTTCCAACTCTTGAAATGCTTCCACGATGGAAGAAATGTGTAGAAATTCATAACCAACTGCCGAGTCAACAATTATTGAGTTTCTCCTTCTGACAAGAACCATTGCCTCATTATAACCAAATAATGGTATTTGCTCTTTATTACACTTCATATAATCCGATCGCACTGATCCTGAATCTAATAATCTCGTCTCACCAAGTATAAGTTGCTCAGGCAATAAACCACCTCAGACGCGATCAAAAAGCCTCATATGACGCCACAATGAGCTAATAAGCTACGGACTCGATTGCGATACATAAGAAAAACGAACTCTGGAAAGGATTTCTCAACCCACACGACTAATTAGACAAATGAAAAGGTGTCATGAACCTTCCTTAGAAAATGGGACACAAACACACAAAATAGAATATAAGGGACTGTACTCAACATCACACGGTTGCGGCGTGCAACCCGATCTACACATGATATCATTGCGGCGTGCAACCCGATCCATACATGATACCCGTGGCGGCGTGCCACCCTATCCGCACAAAAAGAATCTATAAGAAAATACTTACCGAGCTAGAATGCTCATTACTACAAAATATCTGAATATCGGACACAAGCACGCTCAGTGCGTAATATTATCCCTGGAAGGACCGATAGCGCCATACGCTACAAAACTCAAGCACAACAAAGGTGTGATATATGATCTGAATCTCGAGAGCCATCCTGCTCACATAACACCATCGTTATGCAGAACCTCAACACATAAGAAAATTATCAAGCCATTTCGCAACTCACACGGCACAATATAGTATTACATGAAATAACCGACGACGAAATGACATCCAACGTCTGAATACTCCTCCATAGGGAGCGGTTATGCTGAAATGAACATATCCAGCTAGATATAGATCCAATATTCATATTCAAATCCTTCCATAGACCTCAAGCCGATTCTGATCGCATCGTACTAGGCTAATAACCTTTCAAGTATCCATAATAACCCTTTTTCCCATAACATACAAGAATAGCCATCATAACCGGAACAATACTTCCACAGTCGACAACCAAATAAACCAAGCACCCTCCGGGCATAAATTCTCGAATTAGCGATATTACCAAAATCTTCATAATTGGTTTCAATATTCGCTCAATCAAGTGACTACATGTCACTCTTACACAATCTTTCTGAGAGACACGCTCCCACGACCTTCCACACCCAGTAACAAATCTGCACATCCATGCTACCGGTTACACTAATGCTGTAAAGCATATCGAGAATCCACAAATCAATACACAAGGTCTCTTACACCTGACATCGACCTTAGATGATGCCAAAAACAATACCATCTTACTTTAAACATCTAAATCCCTTTCATGCTCATCCAAGCTCATAACATCCTTGTCAACACCGAACCAAAATCTTAAATCCTCAACTTTCAAATCCCATGCTACTTAGTGCACTTAACCACGCCAATACGCAGGAGTACAAGAATTCCATCATAACTCTCGAACCACTAATAGGATAAACACTTCATCATATAGAAACCTTCTTCTTAACTAATTTCAAGAGAACTATTACAACACGTGACTGAATTCCCATATCCGTAGAAAATA